GGCGGCAGCAGGCGAAAGCCCCCGGAGCCCCGCGCAGGTTTGCCTGGCCTCTCCCTCAATCTGATTGGATCAAGTTGGGCTCTACGTGGCGAGGGCTCTTGGAAACCATGGGTTATTGCAGCGGCAGGTGCACGCTGATCTTTGTCTGTGGCATGCAACTGGTAAGTGACACGGCGCTGTGTGCGGTGCCTTGACAATAGCGGCAAAGAAGTGCAGGGCAGAGGGTGACACATGGGCTGCAAGGGGGAGGTGGAAGGTAAAAAAAAACAAAAACTTTTCAATGGATCATTGATACAAGGTATCATTCGTCACTTGGAGCTACTGTCCCAGCTGTCTTAAAATAAACCCCTCCAAACGAGGGAGACTCCCTGAAATGGGAGAGGTCTGGTGGTACCTTTGATATGCATTGGAAAAAAGGGTCCGTTACAGGTGTTGCTTAGACAGCTATAGAGTTTTGTACATGCAGTAAAGTTGTTAAAAAACACTACAACCTCAGGACCGTTTTGACAGGCATTGGCTAAACTTGGTGTCTGGTTTCTTTCAGCAAACTGATATTTAGTTAGCACTTAGTTTGAGGATGCCATTGTTGTTGTTAGTCATGAACAGCTTGCCATACAGGTGTGAGTGAATTTATATCTGACTTTTTCTGCAGATATGTTTCTTCTTTCAGGATTAGTGGCTGAGGTTTAACTGCATTGCATTGTTACAGAAGTGGAAAAAAAATGCGAGAATACATTGCAGGTATTGTATTCATAGCCATCAGACATAGAAACTGTATGGAGTTTACAAAATATGCAAGAGAGGTACAATAACTTAGAAAAGGCTTTTAATTAACTTTTAATTAACTGCTAACAAGCTAATGAAAGGAAATGGAGAATTTCCAGCTGGATTATTGTCTAATTTGAGATGGTGGAATTTGTAGAATTCAGATTAAATGTGATGCAAGTACACGTCACTAAGGACCCAGCCACAAAAAATGCCACCTCTCTGAATTTCAATGGACCAAGTGTGGAACATGTGGTAGGGGACTTCTTTAAGCAGTTAACCTTGATCAGGAATGAAATAATTCACATTACCCACTCCCCTCTATCTCTTATTGTATAGTCTTGCTGGAAAAGCCTGAACTGGTATCAATGGCAACCAGCATTACCACCAATTCTTCCAATAGAGACAGGTACTAAGAAGACTGCAGAAGAAGAGGAAAACAGTGGATTTCAGAGACCTAAATCCAGTACATAAAAAGTAGATTTATCAGTAGAACTGAAGCACTGTGGTCTTTATATATGTTGTGATTAATCCTTCATCCTTCTGTGTTGTGGGAAGCCTTCTATTTGTACAAATGGTGTTCTCCTCAGAAGTTATCTGATCCTTTGCATTCGGTGTGTCTTAGTAGATTTGATTTATTCATATGCGGTCTAAAAAGAAAAAACTTGAATAGAAGTCTGTAGTACATGAGGAATGTAACCTTTTCCCAGCAATTTGGAAATATAAAATACATCATTGAAGTTTTCCAGATCTATTTAAGTTTCAGACCCATGCTTTTCATTTTCTGTGAAAAGGCAACAAAATGTTTAAAATGTACTTTATATGGACAAAAGATCCTTTTGAACAAATATTAGCTTGAGTGAAGGTGCAGAAATGTAAAAACTTTCCTGTTCTTTGGGTCTGCACATTTGCTAACTCATCGTGTGTGTGTGTGTGTGTGTGTGTGTTATATATATATATATATATATATATATATATATACTATATATATATATATATATAAT